AATTAGATTAGATCTTCTCACCATACTTTCCTATAATAATCTATCCTATAGACTGTAACCTTCCTTGGTGCAAGGACCATGTTTCTTTCCTACGTCCAAGTTCTGGCCCTTTGGCACCCCTCAGTAAATGAATGAATGAATGAATGAATGACCCACACGTTCAATGGATTGACGTATCTGGCTCTAGAACTGTTGCCTAGGGGAGATATATGTAGTCAGTGGGAATATTACTCAGTGATCAGGTAAACTTAAGGCACAAATGAAATGCATTTAGAAAACCTCAGCTCTCAAATTAGGTGGAAGCCATTCTTTTAGAGATGGAGTTTGGGAAATTGCTGGAAATCAGGAAACTTAATTCTCTTAACATGATAGTTTATTAATGAAGCTCTCTGTCTTGATTTTCTGCATAATTAGAACCTACGTTCAGGGGCAATTTTTCAAAATGACCAGTCTGTATCAGTCTCAGCTTCATAAGGTACAATTTAAAGAGTATTGCAAATGAAAAAGAAAAGTTATCAAGAACATTTTTGAAGTTTCAACAGTGTGCGGTTTGCCTTTTAATGTTAAGCTAATAATTCCTGCAAATCAGGCAGAAGCAAGAATGAGGTAATCATTAGTTTAACAATGCAATGCTAATTAACCTCTTCCAAATAGGTTGTGTAATAACCCCGGAGGTTGGCTAGGGTGATATAATTCTAGAAAGAAATCTGAAGGGGAATAATGATGATCAACTTGTGATGGATCATTGTTCTTTCCGGTAAAGAAAAGAGAGGCACAAGCAAGAACCTTAAAGGTCTAGTAATTATGCAGCATTTGGTCTGGAAAAGAAAAGTGAAAGTCCTATTCATTTATGCACAGACACTTGGAAAGCACCTGTTAAAAAGTTAGTGTTTTCTCTTGCAGGGGAATTATATTTCTCTAGAGCAGTGCTGTCCAATAGAAATTATAATACAAGCCACATATGAACTGTTTAATTTTATAGTAGTCACATTAAAAAAGTAAATGAAATAAAATAATTTTAAAAATATACTTTAACCTAGCACATCCAAAATATTATCATTTAAATATGTAATCAATATTAATTTTAAAATATTTTGACATATAATTAACATCTAAGAAATTAAGGAGATGTTTTATATCTTGTTTTCTGCACTAAGTCTTTGAAATCCATCATTTAATTTACATTACAGCACCTCTCACTGCAAACTAGCTATATTTCATGTGCTCAAGAGCCACATGTGGCTACTGGTTACCATACTGGGAAGTGTAACTATGTAACTTTAGACTCTATTACCCAGATGTGTGTGTGTGTGTGTGTGTGTGTGTAGCATGCGTATAATGCTGTTAGTAATGGCTCCAAAGTAATAAAAGATCTGGAATGTCTTCTGAATAACCAAATAAAGACCATCTTTTTAGTACAATTTTATAATAATTTATGTATTTTATTATGTTCTAATGCTTTGAATATCGGTAATCCTTGGGAAGTCTACGATTCCATATGGTAATGGAGTCATTATTTGTAATGCCTTAATTTAGCAAACATGTGGGATCAAAGTTGCCTTTAAAAAAGCCTCAGCAAGGATACAGAATGCCTGATGGAAAAGCAACCGGACACGTGAAATCACCATGGCCTCCTCAGACACAACGTGTTTGGGAACAAGTCTGGGCTCAGACCTTCCTGATGGGGAAACCACCTTCCTTTGGTTCATAGAGGGAAATACCAAAGAACTGAGTGGAGAGGACACTTCTCAGGCAGGCAGGGAGGTGGAGGCAGATTGCTTGCATGCAGGATGAAAAGCACCTCTTCTGAAGTCAATTCACTTCACTAAAAGGGGTATCTTACTCTCAACACCTTACACCCTGAACATTCTAGATAAATGGGCATCTGCTGCTCACTTCTGATTATGGCCTCAGTGAATATACCACAGTGTGTGACAACATTATCCAGGGATGGTGGCATGTAACGGGAGGGTACTGATCTCCTCTTTCGAGAGGAGGAGTCCATCTGAGTCAAACTTTGATGTGAAATTCTAACTGAGACCTAAAGACCAGTCCATGTGGATAGTATTTAACTTACTAGGAGCTGGGCACCATTTTAAGAGATCTTCCAACTTCATCTCCTTGATAGCAAGTTAAGCCATTCCAAATGAAAGAAAACACCGTACTGACATGGCAATCGTAGCTGAATATTTAGCTACTACTATAAGGTTTTTCCGGTTGGGTCAACAATAAAATATTTTTTATCATGTTTCATCTCAACTGTTACCTCTTACTTTATACACTTAACTTTCTGTTTAGCTTCTTAATTGTCCCTATTTATTAACCTCAACCTGACTACAGCAGATAACATACAGATATAGTTTTAAGTAGAACACAGGGATAAAAAGAAATAAACTAATAATTTTCAAATATCTGTTATATGTCAGGTATCCAGCTAAGCATTTTCTATACAGTATAGTTACCCCCCTTTGAGACAGGATAACTAAAGCCATTCTCATAATCTATAGAATTAGAATACTGTACGTGTCTATGGTTACATATTTTTTTCTTGAAGCTTTTCTACAGAAAATATTACATAGTCCACAAACCCGATAATCCTTAAATGTCTTTCACTACCAATTTATTGTTTTTAGTGTTTCCTTTCTAGGCTTCATCCCCAATCCCTTATTTTACAGCTTCAGGTTACTTCTGAGTTTGTTCTGAATAGAAACACACAATTTCTTTATTGAAAGAATAGAAGATATATTGTTTAAAATGCTACATGAGAAACAACTTCAGTCAATTCTTTTGCAAATATTCCAAGCTATTACCACAGCTAGGAGTGTTTCAACCGACTGATTGACCAGAAAACTTGTCTTCCTTTTTGCCTTTTATCTGAGTCAACACCTTTTTTTGTTGACTAAAACTGTGAAACTTAAAAATGTCTTTCGGCTTATCATTTCTAATTAATTCTCTTATTCATCAATCAGGTTGATGGCAATCAAACTTTCACTTTGCCTTTATTCACTTATCCATCCAATAAATCTTCACTTAATTCCCGTGGCACATCAACCATGTGCATATTTCTCTGAGGATAGGTCCATAGTCAATCTGTAAGCTCCACGTGCCCCAAAAGTTTGGTTTTCCTTCCATTTGACAGTCATTATTATCTCAAATTGTGTGTGATATTATGACATGATCTTTCCAGTTAGACGCAGACACCTAGAAATAGATTCAGTGCCCTTCCAGATAGGAAGTAGGTGTTAAATACCAGCAGTTACAATGCCATGGATCAGGAAATGGACAGGACAACAGAAATGAAACTCTTCCTTGCTGAGACTCTGTCAAGATCCTCTGGCAGATCGAGTTTGTTTCCTCCACTCCCTAATTCTTCATCCCACAACTCTTTCATGAAAATCATGCTTTGCAGAATTGTTCCAAATGGATAGGTCTATGAACGTTATGCCTTCCTAGTCTGCTTTTTGAGATGGAAGATACTTAATGAGAGGCTACATGCTACAGACAACTGCTAGACTTTTATGGATGCTCTCTGAGTTACGTACATAATCTCTTTGAATTCATTCTAAATGAGGGAAACCAGCTTCCCAGTTGGAGAAAAAGCAAAGACTACTATAAAAAGAAAAAGGGGTTAGAGATGCTATAGCCTACGGATGTCTGGGTGGCTCAGTCGGTTAAGCGTCTGCCTTCGGCTCAGGTCATGATCCCAGGGTCCTGGGATTGAGTCCCATATCGGGTTCCTTGCTCAGCAGGGAACCTGCTTCTCCCTCTGCCTGCCTCTCTCACTCTCTCATTCTCTCTGACAAATAAATAAATAAAATATTAAAAAAAAAAAAAGATGCTGTAGCCTATCCCAAAGGTCTATTTATCGCAAAGATAAATACAAAAAAAGTGCCAATTGTAACCTTTTATTCACCATTTGCAGAGGATGTATCAGCTCAGCAGACAACATACTGGACTCTTAATTTTATTTTTAATTTTATTTGTACTGAAGATGCACAAAGGAAAGGAGAGGGCTTGGACTTTGGAACCAAGCTGACTTGACTGACTTGAGGTCCCATCTTTCCCTCATTAGCTGAGTAACTTCAGAAAAAGTACTTGCAACCCTCTGAGTCACAGAGTCCTCCTGTGTAAAGTAGGAACAATGCCAACCACGACCCAGTGGTGCTCTGGGGCGGGGGGTTGGGGGGGGTGGGGGTGGGGAGCAACATATATAGCAGTGTCTAGCAGTGTTTAGAACAAGATAGGTCTAAATTAATATTAGTTCCCCTTTCTTCCCCCATGTATCTGTGCAAAACAACATTGCTTTTGGCTTTGAAATGTGAACTTTCTCCTCTCCCCCATCAAAATACACTTTTTCAAGTTGTCACTTAGCTAAGAAGAGACCTTAAGAAATGACTTCAAATAGAGGTATCCATTTAACATGAGAGTTTTGGGAGAGAAAAATTAACAATTGTACTTTAGCCATCATTTTAATTATAGTAACAATGTGGATGCCAATTTTTCCTTGTGCTCTTCTTTTATATTTCATATTCTAAATAAAACTGTAACATTTTCTTTTTTAGAAAGTCCTTAGGCTCAGTGACAGGATATGGGATCAATTCCAACTGCTATTCTTGATCGGGCCCCTTAGCCTGTTCTTTAACAAGCCTGATAGGTCAAAGATGGAAATAAAATGCTTAGGTGATGGCCTAGCTGGATCCCGTCTTTAACGTGCTGAGAGACTTTAAAATGTGTTTTACATAAGGGGGAGAGAGGGAGAGGTGGAGAGAATGTATCCTAAGAAACTTTCCTCTCCATAGTTTTGCCAGGGTACTGCAATCATCGTTGTCATAAGCAAAAGGGAGAAAAATGTTGACAGAACGAAGGGAGTCACTTTTGTTTTAACAAGGTTAGATGGTTTGGAGTTAAGAGTGAAAATCATTCATTTTAAACTAGAATAGGCAACAATGAGATTTTCCAGGACTTGTGCTAGTTCCCCCCTGGTCCCAGACCCAACTCACCCAGCTGGAGCTGTTCGCAATTCAGGTCTGGATTCTTTCCGATCTTGCATCTGTAGATCGCGCCGGGATTGACCACTGAAGCGTTGGCAAGCCAACTGGCCGTGGGCGCCCCCACTATGAGCCTAAAGCGAGAAACGTGCACGTGCGCGCAGAGGTGAGCTGAGCTGCCCACTGAACTCCTGGTCTCCACAGGCTCGCAGCTGGCAGCCGGGCCGCTCCCCCAAACCTCCTCCTCCTCCGCCCACCACCTCGCGCACCCAGCCCCCCACCCCCAACTCGCAGCTCCAGAGCCTTGCACCAGAGCGCACCCCAGGCGTGCCACCCCGAGATCAGTTAGCTTCCCGAGCAGATCCAGCAGGCTGGCCGTCGCAGCGCACCCCTTCTGGCTCCTCCAGAGGGAGGAAAGTTTGAACTGGGCAGGGGCTCCCTGAGGCGCCGCTCCCTCGCGGCTCTCAGATGCCCAAAGCGCCCAGTCCCACTCCACTCACCATCGGTTCGCCCCGTGGCTGTGCAGCACCACCGAATAGCCGAACAGGGTGTTGGGGGGGCCCTGGTAGAGCAGCGCGCTCTCGGTGTCCACGTTGTAGGGGCGCCCGGTCGGAACGCCCAGGCACAGCAGCAGCAGCACCGCTTCCCAGACGGCGGCCCCTCGGGGACCGAGCCCGCACCTCGCTTCCCCAGCCATGCGCTCTCGGAGGAGAACATTCAACACCAAACGGCCACGGTCCAAAGTTGCGGGGGATGAGACGGTCGGCCAAGGGGAAAAGCGCCCCAAGAGAAGTGCAGCGTGTCCGGCGCCGGCGGGCGGGAGGGAAGGAGGGAGGGAGGGAAGGAGGGAGGGACAGGGGAAGGGAGGGGAAGTCGGGCCGCCGCGGGCGGAGCAACTGAGGTTGATCTGGGATGCCGCACGCCCGCCGGGCCCACGCCCCGCTTCTGCAGCCAGGAGCTGCGGGTGCTCGCGCGGTCCCGGGGAGCCGGCCTCTGGGTGGGGTCCCGGGCGTGGCGCGGAGGCACGGGACCCTGCGCCGTCTCACCCCACGCGCGGCTGTAGGGGGCGCTGGGGGACCTCGGCTGCGCCGGACGCGAGTCCGGGCCGGGGCCTCCCAGCCCGCCGAGCGCGGGATAACTCTGGGCTCCCAGGCTTTGCAAGAGGGCAGCTGGAAGAGACAAGGACTTCGCCTTTTAACCGTGGTTGAGGCCTGGCTGCGGAGCGGCGTGGCCCCAACCTGAGCCGCGCGCGCACCACGACGAGCATGGGATCTCCGCGGCCTGCCTGGCGTGGCCCAAAAAAGGCCAGCCACAAACTCGGGCACCAGGACGGAGGTGGATAGTTAAGCTCTATCTCTGATGGTGGACGTGCGGGGGGGGGGGGGGGGGGGGGGCGGTGCGCAGAGAGGCCATAAGCAACCACTAGAGAAATTAACCAAAGGGCCACAAATTGAAGCCAAATAAACAAAAGGAACTCCCTGAAAGCTCCTGAGGCAGGCTTCGGTGACAAAGACGTTATGGCTATTCACTTCAAGAGCTCTGCACCCTTCTATGCCCACTTCCTTCCACCCCACACTTCCTCTAAAGTCCGGGCTGCGTTCGAGGCAGAGGAGTGGTGAGCAGGGCAAACTGAATGGAACACAGTTTAGGCTGTTGCAAGTCCAACGCGGAGGCTGGGTTAAGGAAGCACCAACTCGCTTCACTTTAACGGGTATCTCCGTCTGCTTCTCCATGCTCCTCCTTTCCATGCACCCATAGTTGCCAAAGGATACACCTGCCATCAGGGGTGTAGACCCAGTACGAGGTAAAGAGAAAGACACCACTGAAATGCACTGGGGGCCCACAGCACAGCATACCTGAACTGGGTGACGATTTTTATCCTAATGCTATCCAGATGTGCTTCACGTTCTAGAGCAACTAGAGAGACGGCCATAACGGGTTAGGCGGGTATTTGCAGGAGATGCAGGTCCAGTTCTTAATTAATACTATATGAATTAAAAAAAAGAAAAAAGAAAGAAGGGTTCATTAAAGCCAAACTGAAATAGCACATCTTAAGTTGTAATGGCAGACACATCGTTAAAATACTTGTTCCATCTTTTCAGCATACTTATTGAGCAGTCACTATGCTAAGCCCACAGGTTACCTCAGTGAGCAAGGCAGGACGAGCCTTCAGGAAAGTTTTCAGCCAACAGATTTTGCTAACTAGAGAAAGTTCTGAATGATTTAGGGACACTCAAAAAGAGATTTGAAGGACAAAGGGGGTGAGTTAGGCTGAGCAATTTGAGAGGGAGAATGAAGGATGATGCTGGCGGGGTCAGACAGAGGAACTGGGAGAAGGGTCTTGGCTGGAGCATTTAGCTGCTCACACACAAGTTAGTATTACAGGAAGCTGCCTAGGGAAGCAGGGACACATCATGAACATCCAACACCAGGTTAGGAATTTTTAATTCTCTGCTGGGGTGGATAGGAAGCAGTTGAAAGATTTGTCTTGGGGCGCCTGGGTGGGTCAGTCATTAAGCATCTGCTTTCTGCTCAGGTCGTGATCCCAGGGTCCTGGGATCGAGCCCCGCATGGGGCTCCCTGCTCGGCGGGAAGCCTGCTTCTCCCTCTCCCACTCCCCCTGCTTGTGTTCCCTCTCTCACTGTGTCTCTCTGTCAAATAAATAAATAAAAAGTCTTAAAAAAAAAAAAGCCCATTTGTTTTGGGCTTCAGATGTGAAATGAAAAGACTGAATACAGAAAACCTAATTTTGGAGGCTTCCCACAACAGTACCCGTCAAGACGGTGGTGGCCTAAACGAAGAAGGAAGGATAGAGGAAAAAATAGATTTGAGAGATATCTGTGAGATAGAACCCAATAAAACCCAGTGATAGTATTGGTAAATATGAATGCAGAGCTGAGAAGGAGTCAGAGTGTGTCAGTTTGGGAACTGGATATATGGTGCTAATTCAAAGAGAAAGAACGCACCAGAGGAATGAGGCTATGCTGGTTTGTGTACATGCATGTGAATGTGTGTGATGGGCAGGCACTGATGAACTGAGTTTTAGACAGGTGGAGTTTGAGATACCTGTGGAATGTTAGGGTATTCTAGCCACACCCAACCCAATTATTTTTACTCTTTTGTCAGCAAACAAAAGGAACAGTAACCCTCTCTCATTATCTGCAATAAAGTAAGAGGCAAATAATAGTGTGTGATAAATCTATTTATCACATTTATGAAATGAAGTGGCTTCCAGAAAAGTAGCTATCAGGGCCCATGGTGAAGGGTCCTGCTCGGTTTTTCCACTCAGGGTGTGTTTCTTTCTGAGTAGATCTATGTGCTGATCTCAACCCAGTTCTACAACTAGCAAACGTCATCATTCTGAAATCAGCAGTCCCTCTCGTTTGCAGCCACGACATTTTCCATTGAGGCTCAAGAACCAGGTATATCAAAGGCACTTCCATACCCTCCAGACTCTAGCCATGCCACAGACCTAAACACCGCCCTCTTTCTTTCCCTCCCTTCACCAAATGCTTATGCAATGAAACCCACTCAACACAATTTTTTTCATAGCATAATCAAGATGAGTAACGGTCAGAAGGGCACTTGTTGGGGCACGACCTTATTTCTGTGAGTGTGGTAATGATTATGGTTATAATTTCACCACCTTTCCAGAAACAGCTACCCATCACTACTTCATACTCTGTATTAGCCCTGAGTTTCCTTCCTCCAAGGCTTAGAGAACAGTTCACTTTTGTTAAGTCAGTAGGAATAAAGTGTGTTTAATGTTGCCTGAAAATACTGTTCTCTCTCTAATAAGTGCTTTTGTAGGCAACTGTAGGAATCATGTCGGGGGAGGAGGATAGATGGGGAGAAGAGAACTTCTCAAAACAACTTATGCCTATTCTTCACCCTCAACTGACCTTAAATATGCAGTCATCCAATTAATATGTGTCATCTGATCAATAGGTTACAGGTGGCCACTGTGCGCCAGAAGCTGCATCAAGGACTCGAGTAAAAGATGAAATCCGAAAGAAGCGGGGAAATTGGAGGGGGAGACGAACCATGAGAGACGATGGACCCTGAAAAACAAACTGAGGGTTATAGAGGGGAGGGGGGTGGGGGGATGGGTTAGCCTGGTGGTGGGTATTGAGGAGGGCACATTCTGCATGGAGCACTGGGTGTTATGCACAAACAATGAATCATGGAACACTACATCTAGAACTAATGATGTAATGTATGGGGATTAACATAAGAATAAAAAAAAAAAAGATGAAATCCAAGTAATCTCTATCCTTGGTAAGAAGTCCTCCCCAGTAAGGAGGATTCTGATATGGGCTCAACCAGCTTCTCAGAGCGAGCATTTCTCTTTCTTGAAAGCCTCTATTCTTGGAATACTACATTTTTGAGCCCCCTCTCCCCCCACCCCTGCCTTCTGTCTGGCCACTGTGAGTCTCCTTTGCTGGCTCCTTTCTCTCCACCACAAGTATTGGACAGCCCCAGAGCTCCATTCTGAGCCCTCTTTCCTTCTCTTTCCTCTCTCTTTAGGAGATCTAACCCACTTCCTGTGTCTTTTTTTTTTTTTAAGATTTATTTATTTATTTGAGAGAGCGAGAAAGTACATGAGAGGGGGGAGGGTTAGAGGGAGAAGCAGGCTCCTCGCCGAGCAGGGAGCCTGATGCGGGACTCGATCCAGGGACTCCAGGATCATGACCTGAGCCAAAGGCAGTTGCTCAACCAACTGAGCCACCCAGGCGCCCCCCACTTCCTGTGTCTTTAAATACCAGCTATATAATACTATTACATACCACCGTGAGTCCCCAATTCATGTCTCCATGTATCTCTTGAGAGCTCCAGATTCATATGTTTTACTGCCTACCTGACCTCTCTACTTGGCTGTCTAGTGGGCATTGTGAATATAACATATCTAACACTGAGTTCTGTTCCTCACTTGAGTCTAAACTATTCCTCCACCCAATCTCTTCCTTTCTGTCTGCCCAGTTGTTCAGACCAGAAATTTGGAAAGTAATCCTTGACTTCTTCCTCTCTCTGTTCTCCACATCTAAGCCGTCAATCATCAAGTCTATCAGTTCAACCTTCAAACTATATCTCAAGTTGATCTGTTTATCTTCTTCTGTCCTTCTGTCCTTCTGTCTGCTGGTCCCCTCTTCCAAGTGCAGAAATCTCACCTGGGCTTTTCAATAATCCACTACCTGGTTTCCCTACTCATCCCTCCCCACACTATCAATTTTCTACAAAGAAGCTAAAGTGAACTTTTAAAATTCTAAATCAAATCATGCATGCTACTCCCTTGTGTAAATCCTTGAAATAATTTCCAACTGCTCTTCCAGTACAAACTTAACGTGGCCTACAAAGACCCAGTGACCTGGCGTCTGACTACTTTGCACATTTGCCATCGGCCACTTGCCCCAGGTTGTGTTGTTTTAGCCACCTAGGTTGTCCTTAATTTCCTTAAGTGCATCGAAGTTTTTTCACCCTGGAGGCTTCTGTCCATATTGTTCACTCTGCCTGCACACAGAACCTCTGACTTTTCACATGATTTGTATCTTTCTTCAGCCTTAACTTAAAGGTCTCCTCCCAGAGGATTTCCTTGCCCGTCCATTTAAAATAGGTCACCAGGGGCGCCTGGGTGGTTCAGTCGGTTGGGCGTCTGCCTTTGGCTCAGGTCATGATCCCAGGGTCCTGGATCCAGCCCCACATCAGGCTCCTGGCTCAGTGAGAAGCCTGCTTCTCCCTCTCCTTCGGCCTCTCCCCCTGTTCATGCTTTCTCTCTCTCTCTCTCTCTTTCTGTATCTCTGTGTCTCAAATGAATAAATAAAATCTTTAAAATAAATAAATAAAATAGGTCACCACATTGTTCTTTCACAGGCTATGCTGTTTATTCTCTTTGGGGCCCTTTAACTCATAATCATATATGTATTTACTTTTTCATTTTTGTCTTTCTCTCTAGAATATGAGCATAGAACACTCGCATTGTGTTGTTGCAGTTGTTCAGCACTAAATCTCCAGCCCCTGGTATCTGGCTGGTACAGAGCAGGTGCTCCGTAAGTATTTTTTGAATGGCCCTTACATGATTTGAACTTTTTCTATTATTAGTGTCATAAATGGAGAGAAATATGAATGTTTATGAGTTTATTTTCATGCATTATTATATGCAAAACAATGTATTACATCCCTTAG